CAAGATGTCATTAATGTAGGCGTATTACCTGCTTCTTATTCTGTCACTACTGACAGTGTTAGTCTTAATCATTAGTCCCGCTATCTGCAGTTCGGCAGATAAACGTAACAGTGACATTTTTAGTACTATCAGTCAGACATGTAATTGGAGTGCTAACATGAAATGTTAACCGAAAACTGAAATGCGTTTTCTTTTCCAGCAGACTATTAAGGCATGGCTTTTATATCACCCATCGTGAAGCATAATCATATAGTAATTCAGTTACCATTGAGATGTGGGCTTTCGAACGAACTTCCCTCCGGCTGCATGCAAAATAGACACTCTGTGAAAATGACTACTCAAAAAGCATGATTTCTTCTCATTGACTTTCAACGCCCTTGCCGATTCAATTATATTTCACGGGAAAAATGCATGAAAATATTCATTCCTTTACTAATTCAGTAAAAAATTACGTCTTTTTTCGATTTTCTACTCAAAGGAAGGGTAAAATTCGATTTTCAACACTCCATTTCGCGAATAATTTGAACCTGACCTGCGCTTACACTTGCACTCAGGGCTCAGAATCTGCAAACTATATGCTGTCGGTGTGCGGAAAATCACACGATTCTCTACCGTATTAAGAGGATATGATTATGGGTTCATAAAAATAACCAACGGATTTTAGTCATATTGTAGACATTACAAGCAACATTTGCAAATTCTGAGGCATGATGTTTTATGAACGGGCATTTCCCTGTACAAAAATCTCATAAATAGAAACTTTCTAAAACCGAACCGGCTGAGTAGAAGAATGAATATTTTTATGCCTGTTTTCCGTGCAATACAGTTGACTTTTCAAGGACATCGAAAATCAATGAGAAAAATTTCATGCTACTTAAGTAGCCATTTTTACAGTGTGGTTCTTGCATGCGGCCAGAGGAATGTTTGCTGGAAAGCCGGCGCACCGACGTTACTGACTTATTATTAGATTATACTGCAAGACGATTAATTTCACAACATCATTTAGATGATCCTTTTTGCATGCACTTCATAATTTCCGTCAACATTTCACGCATGTGGTCTCCTGGGATCGAAAACCCATTTCAGAATTTTTGTAAACACTCAATGCGCTAGCACATTTACTGTACACTGCAGCCACTGCGATCACAGAAAGACAGAGTTTGTTCTCTAGACGTCTTGTATTTTCACTCGAACCCATCATCAGAGACGATCGCAGACGGGTTGGAGTGAGAGTCCGTGACGTGAGGTCAATAAACCTTCTGGTTCCCCTGGCTGCTGCTAACGCATTCAATAGTTTATTGTTCACACGCCCATCTGCATACATACAAAATAAATTTCCTCGAAATAACTACCTGCGGTCTACGATCGTGTAAAGGTTCATCATGCATGCCGAGTGTGGCACGCGACATATTAGGGAGAAATATGCCACTTCTGTCAAATTACACTCTCCCTTGTGAATTTTTGTACCACAGAATTAGTTTTAGGAACTCATATATGTCAGATTGATGGGAAAAGTAGTTAACCACGTCCTGCCAGCTACATCGGTAACCTAAGTTGTATGCCATACCGGTCCAGTATGGAGAAGATCATTTTTCGATCTGCGTACCTGTCTAGTACTGCTGTTCCTTTAAATCGTACAGCAGCCATGTCTTTAACAGGGCTTTCTTTGATTGACCTACGTAACCGTTATTACTTTCCTTCCACCGAATAATTCCCTTATCAGTTTCTAGCAAAATCTGTTGGAAGCTTTAATAACCAGTGTGTAGGCAGTTTAGGAGTGAACGGGGTCATCTCTTCAAAATCACAACATTATGCGCTCTCCGTTAGCCCTTACTTTGGGCCGGATAAGCCTCCAAATACAGCATACGAACGTCTACATCCATGTCCTACTTGTCCATGGACACACCATAGTTAGCGAACTTGAATTAACAAATCTGCTGTTTTCCACTCTTAACCGGCCTTCTGGCATGGAAGTCGTAGGCGTACGGTGGACGACACTATGGCGTCCTTTGACCATGTCCATAATCGCGTATCTGATACATTTCTATTGTAGCCCTTCTCCAATAAAACGGCAAAACCTCCGCAGTTACCTTTCTCCGCGTACAGCGCTGACAGCACATGCACTCCAGCCTGCTGATCGGTCAGCCCGTAGGCAAATACGGTTTATGCTCTAGTGCGGCCAATAGCGCCAACACATGATGTGCTAGGTCTCCTTCTGCCTTACCGTGAACTGCTTTCTCAGTCTCAAGGTCATTTATGGGGTTTTTGATGCATTAAAACAAATTTCGGTGTTAATGTAACTTTTAAATTATCATGCACTTCATTTCTTTCCGTTTTGCACGTTCTAGAGGCCCCGCCCCTTGAAACCCTCCTGCCACCATTCCCTCAAGATAGGTGGACGGGAAAAAGTTTTCTTCTGTGTTGCAATACTGTATTCGCGCCGCCTTTTCAAAGACATTCGAAAAATTCGTGCGGCCGCACATGCAATACGACACACAAGCCAGGAGAACGTGGGCGGTTCAAAATCAGAGTTGCTTCGATAGAGCTCTGAGGAGCGCCACGAAGATGGTTAAGGACCAAAGCTCATGTCGTTATGCTATCCCTCTAATAAATTTTATCCTCTTCACCCTTGAGTTATGGACAACTTCGCAAGGAATTCTGGTAAGTATTCCGCATAGTGAGGGGGTTTTGCACTGCGGCCTGGCCTTCGAGAACTTTTAGAATTTGCTATCATGATCAACCTCCGAGGTCACATAGGGTACCCAAGGGGTCACGTCTATTTCTTTAATAAACTGAAATGAACTGAACATAGTCATTCTCCAACCACCATTAATGCAGAACAAGCATGTCTACACCCGCTTCATAATTGCAATTATCCTACGCTGAATTTTGACTCAGTTTTTCTCATCATTCCAAACCCCATCCTCACCATCCCAAACGACAATATTTCCAGTACTCCCTATCAGAATTGTAGACACCTTGATTCCCTCGTTTATAGCAGTCTTTTGTCTCGATCAACAGTGAGGCTGTCCACACATACCGCTGTCAGTCCGCCTTACTCCCTGTAGTGGTTGAGTGCTTGTGCCGCGCGTAACTTGGCACCAGCGTGGAGATAACTTAAAACAAATAGACGGTACGTCCTCGTTGATGGGCTGCAAACGGACTAATCCCAAGTGCATGCGCTTGGCACCGGAGGCAACAACCTCAATGACTGCTACCTGTTAAACTGGTCTTTGGTACGGTATGCGAGCACGGGCACCCCGGACGAAGGAAGACAGCCACCCAATAGGGTAGGCCAAATAGGAATCCATGGCACTGCGTAGCCCTGGGACTCTGTTATGTCTAAGAAAGCTGGTCAAACTCAGTCTGTTTCCCCCATTCTAAAGTCTATTGAGATGCAACCTGATTTGGGCATTCGCACTTTTCTTGGGCATGACAGTCTGCCTAAACCTGGAGGTTTCTTCAAATGTACAAACACGAATCAGCTTGCACGACCATCCATACAAGGTTAAGCGCGCATGTACGCGGCTAGGTCAACGAAAGTTTTCTTTCGGTCAGCGGATAGCTCCACGATGGAAATCTTCACCAAATGGATTGCTACTTTGACGTCCTGGAAGCGTTCAGAAAACAGGAACAAAAACGCCTCTAACTTTAGGGCTACATACTGCCAGATAGGAATTTGACTTCGCTATTTCCTTCCTCCTGCACGGCATAGCTATATGCTCGGTGTAGTATTGCCACAAACCGTATAGACGAATATATTTCGTGCTGAATTTATATAATTACATTTCCAATTGCAAAAGTCAATCAAAAATATCATGCAGGGCTTCGCAAGCAGCGTAACCTGACCTACGTATATGATTAGCGGTCAGAGCAGTCGCCATTAAGTCACTGGTAAGCACACGCCTAACGTTCGCGGGTCCATCTTCATTATTTTGAACAACGGCTGCTCCATTTCAACGTGGCCCTCCATGTTTACCTGCTGGTTCTCCAGAGCCATAGCATAAGAACAGCGTCGTCCAAAAATCGTATCCGACTTTCTCCCAATTAATCGACCGCCGCTACCTTTTCGATTTACAGAGCGTTTACAACTCACCTCGTATATAACCCCTATAGATTTAATCATGCTTTCAAATAATTCGTCGAGCGACACACTGAATACCAACCAAAGACCTATCATATATTCTGTCGACAGTGTCTGCGCGAGTCGCTCCAAATATGTAAACATTCATCCCTCATAATTTTTCTGACCAGTCAGTCCTTATATCCTACTGCCAATACCCACTGGCTTCTATATGTCTTCTAATCTCCCCTTTTCCATGATAGCCAACATAAGCGGATCTATTTTTTAACTTTAATAATATTCCTATATCAGAAACACGTATCACTGCTCAGCCTTTTGTTGCTGAATCTCAGTACGTCATAAGTTCTGGAACAGTTATTCCTATTTCTAAATTAGAAATGATTAGTGACCGTGTTATTCAAATTAAAGTTCGTTTTTGAATGAGACCGGTTATATCCATGCTACTCGGAGTACATTAAATCGTATATTATTATGTGCCAGGCATATGGTAAATAGGGTGCCTTGACCTAGAACTATTCCTCTCGAACTGACGCCTGACATTTTATGCATAACCAAGTCTTGAAAGCGTCAGCGAATTCCCGATTCCTCCAATTTATAGATAACTATGGTTCCTACAGCCAAAGCCCCTTTCTACGCATGCTGTTGGACCAGAGAGTTGGTCTGAGCGCTCCGTCATTTTCCGGAATATCCTGCCGCACACATCCTTTTCTTTCGTCTTAGTGACAAATGATTAAGCTGGCCCCTTTTTTGCAAATTTTGCCGTTCAGTATTATGATAAGGCGGATTTTTGCGTCCAAGCCGCAGTTTTGTGTACGTACCGGTAGCCTTGACACACACTTGCAACCTGTACAGCCTGGTAAGACTGATTTGGGGTGTTTTGGTGTGTAAATAGGGGTGCACGCCATTTTTGCGTAAGATGAATTATCGGCGGTATCATGTCGATCGCGTTAATCCGCGGGACGTTCTTCCAAGTCGTCACACTATATTCATTCGAGGTCTCCCAGGGTCAACTAATGTTGATGGAGTGAAGTTCGTTTATTCGGTTTTTAATCGATCTTGAAGGGATTATTTCTCAAAGGAAACGAATTCCAAATGCTCAATTGCCTTTTCTTCAATGTCAGAGGATAGGGTTCGCTTTTCGGTTGCTGTTCGGTTCAAGACGAACGAACTGGCACGGGAAATGCTTGTCAAGTAAGCTGGCTAGTTATATATCATCCTTCCAGGTACAACGGCAAGAATTTGATGGGTCACCCGGTTGAAGTCACCTGGTTCAAGGACCTGAGAAAGGCCCGAGCTAGAAGTGAGATAAAATTGTTTACTAATTTTTTAGTCAATGAGGACCATCGCAGTGGGCGGTTCCGGCCCTTCAGGGGCTTCGCACGAGGTTCTTTCAAAGGTCCATTTGACCACCGTGGCCGCACATTTTCAAACAGAAGTTATGTTGAGACCGACCATCGGCGTTTTCGGCACAGTTCAGTTTCTTCTGACGGCGGTCGCCCGCCTCGCTTGTCCTCTCGTGATGGTCGTCGCTTGCCCAGTGCATCTCCCTCTGCGTCTTCGCGCTCTTCATCCCGATCCATTTCGCGGTCCAGGTCTAGATCATCGAAAAGGTTACTCAGATTATCTCCCCACACTCCATGTGCTCTTTGCAAGTGCATGTTTTTGGATCTCTCCGAGGCTGTCTTATATTAAACCTGTCTGTTTTTGCCTGTTCCTCAGTGGCCTTTGAATTGTTGGTAACCATTCAGTGTCTGCACATTGCATTTATGCATCCCAGACGCCTATAGATCCGTTTAATTCGGTCACTGTCTGACGCAACATTGGACGATGGCTTCCGCGTCATGTGTTGTTTGTTGTTTATTTCCCAGGAAAACTGTTTTAGACACTTGTTTCTATTTTTTTTTACTTCCTTCTAGGCCACGTAATGAAGAAAGCCTCGACAACTACCACATGGCAGACCAAGGGTTAAGCCATGGGAAAAATCTATCTCAGGCAGGTCGTTCCAATAGGTCCCGTCGCTCTTCAAGCAGTTCGAGTTCTCGTTCATCTTCTTACGATAGCTGTCGTCGCCCTAGAGGTTCTGAAGGTAGATCTAACGACGTCTACAGAAACCAACCTGCCCCAATCTCATTCGGGAGCCGGTCCTCCCTGTCACCAGCAGATATCGATTCGCTACCTAAGAAAGGTCGCTTTGAGAAGGCCTCAGGTACTTCCACTCCTTCCATGATCGTTCGGATATATTATTTCTTATCGACATGACTGTTTCACTGTCCAATACACTATTCAAGCGGCACTTTGAGGTGAACCTGTTTAATCAACAGTGCACGTAGCAGACGTTACAATATGGTACGAAAGTTAAGCCTACATGCTCAAGGACCACCCAGCATCCTGGATTGTACATTGATTACCTGTAAATAGGGAAACTTCAGCCTGGTCATTAGGTTGCGTACTTGGACGGGGCAGGAGTGGCAGCTCATATTTATTTGCACTTATTTGCCCCCACCCCAATTCGAAGGATAACTTAAGCTTACTTGCTCATAAGAAATGGTAAACCCTCCCAGTTTGCACATGCCTCTCCATACTCTGTTTTTAATCAATCCTATCCCTCACTTAACAATCAAGTTGACGGATGACGCAAATTAATTCTTTAGATAATGGTCGCTCTTTGCCCTACACCAATATGCCGGCCCCCAATAGCGAGAACTCGGGACTTCTTAGTGGCTTGATCCAACTGAAGCGTAAACCAGCCGTGGGTCTGCATGCCCGGCGTCGACACTCACGATCTCGCTCACAGTCGCCCGTTAGTTCAAGTTCTGATACCAGTTCTCCGCATGTGGTGAAGGAACCACGTAAAACCTTCTCTCGAGGGAAGTTTTCTCCGTCTCCACCAAACTTCAATGACGAAAAACGCTTAGAGGTCAATGACAATGCTCATCAGGCTTCATCGCCGTCCCGACTGTAAGAATTGCTTATTTTCTCTTGATGGCTCGAAATAAGACTACGCATTCTCTACAGTAGGCCGTTTCTCATGAATAGACATTTGATTGTCGACTGTGAGGGCAGACCCAGGAATGAATCTACTGTGTATTGGCCTCGATGGTGGTCAACTTACATCGATGTCCTCGATGCCGTCACTCTAAACACCGAAAATGACTTTACTAAACTTTTCGCCGATTAAAAAACAATTTAGATTAGACATACTAAAATCCAATAAAACAAAATAAGTGTATGCATGTTCCTAAAGTGTAACATACGTAATAGGCACTGAATAGAATTAGCTGTTATTTCAGTCCGTTTGGCAGAATTTGCATCATGCAGGACATCTATGCATTTGCACATGCTCTGCTGGCATGTTCTACGTTTTGTTTTTCGATTTGGTATTTTTTTAGATTACGTCTGCCGACGAGCTGTGCACATTGCGGTTTTTTCTTATTCCATAACTTCGCCTTCCTCAATCTAGCCCGGTGGACGAACGCGAAGATCGTGTTTCTGGACTGTCCGCCGATGGCAGCCGTTGGCGTCCGGTTGATTACCCCGAGGACCATGCTGTAGAGCGAAGATCTAGTTTTGGCAAACCGGTTAATGGAAACGACTCTGTGGACGAGAATTCTGCAGATGGTAATCGTGGTGACTCACAAGAACCGAAATTGCCTTCATCAGAGAAGCGGTCGCGGCGTTTGACCCCATCACCCAAAACGAATGCAACCAGTACTACTGATTTTGTCGGCTCAAAAAGAGCCTCGGAGCCTGACAGAAACCTTGGTAACGTTAGCATTTCGTTCTGTTGCTTTTACTGATCTTAAGACCATTCGTGGGAATTTTGCATAAGCTTGGTTTTTTTTTCTATTTTTACAAATTCTTCTGTACTTGCTTTTCTTATTCGGTTTCCACTATCTGCTATCTTATGCTAACTAGAACTCGCAAACTTCAAGGATTTTTTGGCGTATTGAACTGAACTTATCTGAGTGTCAGCATGCCGATGCTTAACCTCGTGCTGGGAACTTGTCTATCTGTCGTTTTTATGGCTCCTTTTAGACCTAACTTTATACTTGAACAAGTTTCAGTGAGCATTCCTTCCCATACGGGCTTTTGTCGTATGTCTTTGCAGTGGCCGCCAAATATTTACCCACACTTCATATTGCGTCCTTTCTTTGGGAAAGGTAGTTTTAATTTGTACTTTGTGGTGTCCTGTCCGCCTATTCTGTCGGCGATCAACTATTCTGTTCCCACTCGTGTCGAGGCTTCGGTCTGTCAACTCCTGGGACTATTGTCTGATGGATTGTAGGTTGTAGCTGTCTACGCGCACAGTTATACTGCCCTTTAGGATTACAAGGGGTTAAGTTGCATTAATTGGCTAAGAAAAATTGCGGTTTATGACGATTCCTCCATGACTACGCCAATCTGAGACTGCCTTGTACGACCACAAGGTTTTTTTCAGTGGGCTTGTACTGCAAGTCTTGGGAATCGTCATGTCTGCCTCCCCAAAGCGGGTCTGAGTTCCCGTTTTTTTTTCGGTCTGACTAGTTACTAATCGGGTCTTATTGTCGACAGTAACAATTACACTCTTGCTATTAGTCGTCCGTCGTTTAGTATCTGTCCCCGATTATTGTTCAATTTAACACCAGTTTTGTATCATCTGTGTATTACTTAGTTGGCCATCCTCCTAACCCTTTCGAACTTCCAGCTTTCGTAGACTTCGGTCCCAGTTCCTGGTTTGTTTCACATGTAGACCTTACTGCTTTTTCTAGATCCGACTAGGGATGCAAATTATGGGAACTATCTCCTTTTGCCATCTACTTGACAGTTGATATCTAAACTATCCTTCTCCACTTTCAGTTGATGTTCCATCTTCAGGGCCCATAAAGACCATGAAAGATAAACGGGTCCTCATCCAGGAACGGAAGGCTGCCATTGAGGAGGTACTATCCGTTAATTACCCATTCTGACCACTTTTTTAGGAGTACAAACGTGACTGTGAGACTTTTGCTACTGTCGTCCGAACGCTTATAAGGTACGTTACTGACCACCAATGTAGTCTTACGTTTTAATTGTCCCCATCTACCTTCTTCGCCAGCAACCACCTAACCCTCATTTAACTCAATTTTAGCCTTTATATATGAGTGTGTGTTACCTCACCTCTGGGAAGTACCTTCTCATGTGGATTTGTCTTTTTAATGCTCATCCCGACGCACGGCTATTTTCGGCGGATTCCAGCTTGTTCTTGTCCTTGTCGCGATGGAATTGAAGCGACCATTCCAGTCCTATGTACTTGCAGGAGCATTTTAACTGGCTTCGCGTGTCCGCTTTCTCTAATAGAAGACTGATACGGGCTTACATGTATACGCATGCTTCCACGGAATGCGGCTAGCTGAGGAAGTCTAATTTGCCCAATTTTCCATTGGTGGTGGTGGTTTCTACTCCGCTATTTATGCCAAATCATGCGCACGTTTTCACACGCCACCCCTCCTTATGGGGAAGTCCTTGATATGGGCATATATTATGGCGTTAGAACAAGGATTGACTATACGAAGCAACATAATAAATTCATCGATCTTGAAGTATGCTCATTCTCAGTGCACGGAGAAATGTGGGACAAATGCGCTGATTGGAATATTTTTAACGTATCGAGTTTATTTCTTATTTTTCTGCTTACGGAGTGGGTAAGTTTACTCGAATTCTGCTTGTGTGCGCGCCCATCCCTTGTCTATTTTCATGCAGTGTGTAACCGTTTCGGTCCTTTCTGCCTTTTGGTCCTACTTTTCATTCCTAATTTTTTTTCTCAGTAAAGACAATGAACTCGAATCACGCTTGATACCACTGCTAAAGGAGATACTCCACGAACGTGGTCAGAAATGTGTAGAGGAGTTGCGAGCATCAATCACAGAGGAACACAGTCTGAATCAGGGCTCTGATGCTATTATCTAACCTTAACGACTACTCGGTTACTAGTGTTTTATGTTTGTAAATGATCTTATAATGCCAACTTTTCCTTATCACCTTTTTTCAATCGTACAATATCCTCCACCCATTTATTCTCCGTGTTCTTTCAAGACAGTTAGAAGACATCGTCGAAATCGTGTTTGCATGTGACCTCTGTTAGGAAAATCGTACTGACCGAGGTGGCGGGTGTGCGTTGGCCGTTACAGACAGGGAAAATGCCGATTTGGCAGTAGGAGGAGGGCGTCCGTAAGACGGGGCTATTCTGTAGTTTTAGTGGTGCGGTACCAGCAAACAGCACGAGTGAACATTTCGTCATCAAAAACAGTGGGTTCTGGACTTCTACGCGAAGGCCTGTTCGCTGGTCCTCTTGCGCACTCCCAGGGTGATGAGCCGTAGGCGGTGGGGGGAGGGGGGGGCGGTGGGAGCGACGTACGAGTGGCCTGCGAAGGGTCAATTCGCTTTTCGCTCCCCGTCTGTTATTCTGCTGAACTAAAAGGACTAACTGAGAAATGGTCGTCTTGCTGCTGCCCCACCCGCATTCCCAGCGAGCTTCCGCTCTGCATCATCCTCACAACTGCGTGAGGGCTTCTCCACCGAGGCCTCAACCGTCCGTCAGTGGGGTCAGCGTGTCTCGGTCATTTTCGGCCCCGTCGTTGGCGAGGGACTTTCTCCAAACAAGGCTGCACGTTTCTTCTGTTCACTGGTTCCGGACCGTGACTCGTATGGAAAACAACGCCCTTCAAAAGAAGAGTGACTGCTTTTAATCATGTGATCAATGTTTTACGTGGCCTATAACATCAACGAGGGTTAAATCTTTTCCACGCAGGGAAACTGATTTACTAGTTTCCCGGAGGTTCGGGGCGTTTCGTATGCCTACCACCTGGTAGGCAGGGTGTAGTATTCACTGTCTTGGCAGATCGCATTTACCGGAATTGGAGTAAGGAATTGAGTTCTACACTTACAGTCATCATGGTCGTGGGGACGGGTGCTAATCACTTCCGGCCTCGCCTTTGATAATCCGCCCCAGCTGGTTGGCTGCATTGATGTTTTCAACTTATTAGATATTCACAGGGTGTAGATCGATTTTAGCGCATTTGAAATGACTCAGTGTGGCCCAGAGCGGGTGGGGACGTAAGTCTGCGTGCCCACGACGGAGCTGGTAAAACATGACTGCTTTTCCATAGAAATAAACAAGGTTTAAAGTAGAAAAGCTCAGCGTTTCTGCGCAGAAACCCCATAGCTTGACGGACGTCGACGATGTCATCCGTGTGTCCCGCCAAATGGTGAACGCAGGGACGGTAAATTGCATTGCATCTACTGCAAAATCCTCTCGCAGCTGACTGCGGTGTCAAGCTAGAAACAAGAGGACTGGAGACAGAATCGGGCGCAGGTGGCTGGCAGGGCGTGGTCCCGCACTTAGTCCTGCCACTGCACAATTGGTCCGCACACAAGGTGCCAAAAGAAAAGGGCGGGGGACGGCTAGGATACCAACCAGCCGGGAAAGCCGTAAAGGACACATTAAGAAGGAGCCGCTGCAGGCTGCATCTCCGTCATGTGAAGAGGAGCGAGTTATTCCGCCAATTGGCAGCCCTTGAAACACACCGCAGTAGATCGAAGCGCTGAGGTCGTAGTGAAAAATATGTGCTGAGAGAGTAGTATGCAAAGAAGGGGAAGAAAGAGTTGTCGGGAGAACTTGACAAAAATATCATGAAAACTGCCTTTACGGGATCAACATTTAGTGGTGAAGGTGGGGCACTATGTGCGTAAATCGCGCAGAACAGCCGAATTTCTGCATGATTATCCAGAGTCCATCGCGAATCACAGCGTTAACGGCTTTCCTCCGGTCCACGAATGTAGTTTAGGGGTGAGTCCGCCTCTCCTGACGTTTCTCTTGTAGTCCGCATACGTCGGAGTTTATTTCGGTGGTCCCACGGTGTCATCCGAAGCCACGCTACCTTGCTGCGAGGAGTCCTTGTTTGAGATGGCCATTGGGACAGTTGAGGAGAACACGAGCGGAAATCTTCCGATAATGTCGAGCAGTGGGATTCCTCTATAGTTATATCAGAGTTGTCGGTTCTCTTTCCGCTTATAGAGATTGACGATTGTTGTGCCCTTGGAATCCTAGACAGCTTGTCCTTGCCACTACATCTCCTGGAATAGTGATGTGAGTTCGTCTACCAGCCGAGTGTCGGCGTGCTGGTGGACTTTGGCCGGAATCGCGTCGGATCCCAATGTTATCCGGCTGGAGAGCTATTGCACGGGTTTGATTGTCTTTTGAAAAGGAAGGTGGGAGATCAATGTCGTTGTTTGTTTCCACTAGAGAGGGCCAGTGGATGGCGGCGTCGGAGATTGTGGACGGGCGGCTGCGGACGTTCCTGAAGTTCTCGACCCAGCGCTTCGATTTCTTCGTGAGTAATGTCATTTTGTCAGAGCTAAGGAGCATAGCAGTTACCTTCGCTGTGGGACCGTAAACCCCCTTGACTGATGCGAAGAAGTGCTTCGTTTTATTGCAATCCCTGTACCCTTGGATGTCCTCGTCCTCACGACCCGCCCACACATCGTACATTTCCTACAGCCGTTGCTGCACACGGCGACGATATCTGAAGAATAACGTTTTGTTTGCGTCGTTCCGGCGGTCGATGTAGACTTTGTGCAGTCTGTGAGTTTCGGCAAGGAGTTTTCTGATATTCGCGTCGTTGTCGTCAAATCAGTGCTGGTTTTGACAACGTGGGCAATCGAATGCGCCCAGAGCGTTGGGATGGTTGGAATTCCGCAGTTGACGGCATCCTGGAGGCACGGTGGCGTCATCGTCGGGAGACTGAAGCTATTCCTGTCGTTAGGCCAGTTGGTTTCTGAAGTCGAAGTGATAAACTCACGTATTCAGCAGACCAGTATTTAACTTGCCTGATAATTGTTCACCTTATGGCCTCCCGCGAGATTACAGTCCGATCCTCATCTTCGAGATGACAAGGCGGTAATCCGTTCAGCCGTCAGCGTAGTAGATCGTCTTGGTCACCAGCACGTACTGCTCACCTCGCAGCCGAACGAGGACCTGCTGCAGCAGCTGCCAGTGCAGCGGTCATGGGAGCATCCCGGTTGCCTTGTCCGTGTATCCGAAGGCAATAGACGGTGTTGGTGAGAAGATAGTAGTGTTCTGTGTAGGTTCACAGAAGGAAGAGACGTTGTCGTTTCAGCTGCTGAACCCATGGGAACCCAGCACTCCCTCGCACGCAGTGCGGCTTGTCCCGATGCGGACATTGAAGTCACCAAAGACAATCAGTTTGTTCACCCTCCGTACAGTCGCTAGACGGGCGTGTCTGTCTCCGTATAATTTGTTTCTTACGTCGTCGGAGCATTTCATTTTTCCTGGGGAAGGGGGGAGGGTGGTAGCACTAATGATGGTGACGATTTGGCTCTGTCGGAGGCAGACGTAGGGTGATGAGGCGGTTGTTGATGCCCTGCAGCAGACAACGGGCAGTTGTCTCACGATGTCGTTGCGGATGGCGAAGGCGACGCCAGCTTCGCGCTATTCTGCCTTCGGGCGGCCGCTCCGGAGGGAGGTTTAGCCCCCACCATTCTACTCCAGTTGCCTTGTTCGGGGATTGGGGGCAGCGACATCCACCATTTTGCTCGCCAGTTCTCAGGTGACAAGCGGTGTTGGCTATTTCGGTCGATTTCTACGTTGGTTGTCTGGATAAGAACGATAATTTTAGGCTGTTGATATGAGCATTGCATTCAGGAATTCAACGGGGTGGTGCGGATGCTGGGGACGTGAGTTGATGTTTGTTTAATTTTTATCGAATGCGAGTTGTACGCCTGTGAGCCACGGTCTGGGTGAAGATGACGTGATCCCCGCACTTGTTTAGGGCACCTTTTCTAGCTCTGTCAGCCGAGATTGGTAAAGCAGTGCTATCCCGAAATCAAGCTGGCTAGACATCCTTGGCAGCTGCCAAACTCCACTATGAGTTACAACTTGGTTTGGTTTGACAGCTACCTGATTTAGTCCGGGCCTCCTACAGGATTGCATATCGCCCTCTCCGCAGAACAGTTGGTGTGTGAGAGAGGTGGGAATATGATCAGAATTATCGGGCCTAGTGACACACACCATCGGATATACTCATCCGGTTTAGCCCGCTGGCTGATTCAGTCTCCGGGGCGTGGCCAGTGGGCAGAGCCTAGGTTCGCGGGGCCACAGATGAGAGCTGACTGCCATTTAAGGACCGTGAGGAGCTGCCAGCATTTTCATAGTGCAATCTACCACAGCCATGCGTTCTGCCCCCCCTACTAGACACGCCCACACGGATACTGAAGTTTTTAATTGAATTATGTTGGAAATTCAGGGGAGACATGAAGGTGTCCTTTCATCATTCGCTGAGTACAATCTTTCAATTAAAATAGCATATATGACCCATCGGTGTCTCGATCGTTAAAACCCCTCAGAGTGGGCACAGCCCATCGACACCAGGCAACACTACGGCGCCGTCTGATTCAACCTAGGGACACACTACCACTCGCTGAAATCTCAGTTGTCTGCAAAATAAATTACAATGAGGTCGACTGCACATATTTTGGGAAAACCTGCAGCTTATAAAGTCCTACGTCATCAAGTCCGCAGAGCTCAGGATCAAGTAAATACACTGAACTTAAAAGGCCAAACATAGGCATGCCGACGGCGAGTCTATCCGGCGAGGAAGAACCACCGGACCGACTATCCGACGAAGGTTCAATCGCCTCCTTCCGACAAAGCGGTGACTCAAAAAACACGCAGGCAAAACGCCCGTCAACCATCCCCCGAGAGGCCGAGGCAGCGAAAGAAGGGAAAAATCGACCAGCATGAGGCCAACCGACACGGCCTGCCACTTGAAAATCCTGGTTGGTTAAGTGCACTTTATGCTTTGACAATGCGGAGCCGACCAAGCTCTTCTAAACGTCAGCACCTAACTAAACTCGTTCCGTTAAGCCCATATTCTTCATCAGTTCATCAA